CTTGAGATAGAAGACAATCCTGACAATCTGGCAAAGCTCACAGAGTGTTCAGAACTCCTCCCGCCCAAGAGGCCAGATACTCCAAATGAGTCGGTCCTATTGATGATTTTGAAGATTCAGGATTCATCTGAACCACCGTAAAATTTGGTTAGTCAAAGCCAAGCCACATTGCCCAACAGAGCTCTTGCTGACAGTTCCCTCAACAGGAGGTAATATAAGTATCCCACAATGGATATGCGACGCAGTACGGCTAATACGGGAACAGCACCTTGGCATACACCAAAAGGTGGCAATGGAAAGCCAAAGGACGGGGCCATGAACTGGTGGTGTAGAGGCCCTACAGCCAAGAGAAGGAAGTACTGATATACCGGAATCATTGGGACATGTATGTAAAGGAATTTACGATTAAGAGTTTGTTGAGAGTGAAATGCATTAACAGTCTGCTGTCCCCTGCTGTAATGTAATGTTTTTATTGCTTTACGACTAATAAAAACCCACCAAGAAATGCAGCTATTCCAGAATGCTGTTCTTTATAGGATATATAAGTACATGTACTTGTTGTCTACAGAAGCCAGAAAATCTCCCTGTTGAAAGTAAACAATTACAGACCTGGTAAGTTCCATATGGAATTTCTGAGCTGAATGAAGATATGCAGAGCTTTGAAAAGTAAGATGGAGTAGGAAATGTGCATAGATTGAAGCAAAATCCTTAAAACCTTGCTGCTCGATGGAGATCTGCTAATGTGTGGTATCACAGGAATGTTGGAGGTAAAAAATGGTAGAGGGGGTAGGGTATGAAACTCCTGTTCATAGCCCAGGGATACCTTATCCTGCACCCAAGCATCTGAGATGCAAGCTGTCCAAGTATTAAAAAGATTGACAAACATCCCTCACTCTGGAAAGAGTTGGGGTGGTGCATCTTCATGCAGTGGAAGGCTTGTCTGAGGATTTGACAGACTTTAAGAAATGTCCCACAAAGTCTGGGGCTCAAACGGTAAAGAGGGTGAAAAGTTTTTCAACACTGTTCCTTAGGCTTCTTCCACTTAGGAAAATGGGTGCTCTTGCCTGTAGCGTCTTTGATGATATTAAGAGTAAATCTGAAGAGATGATGTCCTTCAAAGTCCCTGTGGGTCACATGCTTCTAGGACCTAGGTACTGTAGCCTACACTTTATTTATAGTGTCCTTCATGTACTGACAGGACTGATTGACTGACAAATGCAAAAGGTTAGCTGGAAGCCTTCAGCAAACCAACACAACGGAAGATTAAAAACACAACCACTTGCTATACACATTCTATAAGCAAGGGATAGGCCACAGCAGTGGTAGGATCTCTTTGAGGATTGTTGCCCAGTCAGCCATGGTTTTGCATAGTAAAGTTACCAAGCCCTAGAGGGGGTTTACAACAGCTTATTGATTGGGTCCTTGAAGACAGGTGCATCCTTTACTGGTATGGTAAGTTAAGACACTGCCAATTCACACTGGCGGTAGACTTTTTTTTTTTTTCTTCAACTTAAAATCCTCCTTAATTGGGTACAAGGCTTAAAAGCACTTGGAGGGAGAAAACAGTTTGTCAGGGTGTTTGCAATCTCTTTAGAGAAAGAGTTGGAAAAACTGGTGCAAGCATTAGTAGAAGCAATAGAAATCCTTTGGCTTCAGAGTGGTGCACACCGCAGCTATAAGAGCATCCTCAGGGAAATAGACTGGAGTGACACAGAAACAATCTCAGTGGTTGAGGGCTCAGCTCAAAAGACTGTGGGAAGATCAGATACAGAATATGCTGCAGCTGTGTCAGCGAATAACATAAAGCCTAGCAAGGCTGTGGTAAAAACCTAAACTGAAAGGACTGATGAACCAGCCATACCTGACTGAGCTAAAGATGACTCTAATGACAAGATAGACTTTAGGAGCAGAGGGCAACAGAATTCCAGGTTGCAGATGTTGGCACCATCTGAAATTACATTCCAAGCAGCCCTGGAGCTGTTAGCAGAGTGTGAGCTGGGGCACCCTGTTACAGCAGGACCACCCCCCATGTCTGTCAGAAAAATACGATTGCATGGTGACAAAGAAGTTTAAGGGTCACAGTTAGAGATGAGCGAAACGAACATGGCAAAGTGGAATTCGTTTCGAATATTGGGAAATATTCGATTTGCACCGAATTCGAAAATTAGCCAACTTCGGATGCACGAATCGAATTTTTCCCAAAAATGGCGGCGACATGTGTGGCGACGGAGCGGGGATCTCTGGGAAGGCGCGCAGACAAGGCGCGCTGACCCATAATGCATTCATTCATGACATGTGATCGCATTAGCCAATCAGCAGCCAGCCAGCCCAGCACTGTGTAATGGTGGAGCTATAAATTGCGGCCATCTTACAATTCTCCATTAGCCTCCGGTTCATTCAAGAGAGACAGACCTGTCTGTATTAGGGACAGAGTTAGGGCCAGAGAGACTTTAGGGCCACAGAATCGTTACTTAGGGACACAGAATCGTTACTTAGGGACACAGAATCGTTACTCAGGGACACAGAATTGTTACTCAGGGACACAGAATTGTTACTCAGGACAGAGACACAGAATTGTTACTCAGGGACACAGAATTTTTACTCAGGGACACAGAATTGTTACTGAGGGACACAGAATTGTTACTGAGGGACACAGAATCGTTACTCAGGGACACAGAATTGTTACTCAGGGACACAGAATTGTTACTCAGGGACAGACACAGAACTGTTACTCAGGGACACAGAATTATTACTCAGGGACACAGAATGTTACTGAGGGACACAGAATTGTTACTCAGGGACACAGAATTTTACTCAGGGACACAGAATTGTTACTCAGGGACAGACACAGAATTGTTACTCCAGGGACACAGAATTGTTACTCAGGGACACAGAATTGTTACTGAGGGACACAGAATCGTTACTCAGGGACACAGAATTGTTACTCAGGGACACAGAATTGTTACTCAGGGACACAGAATCGTTACTCAGGGACACAGAATTGTTACTCAGGGACACAGAATTGTTACTCAGGGACACAGAATCGTTACTGAGGGACACAGAATCGTTACTGAGGGACACAGAATCGCTACTCAGGGACACAGAATTGTTACTCAGGGACACAGAATTGTTACTCAGGGACACAGAATTGTTACTCAGGGACAGACACAGAATTGTTACTCAGGGGACACAGAATCGTTACTCAGGGACACAGAATTGTTACTCCAGGGGACACAGAATCGTTACTCAGGGACAGACACAGAATTGTTACTCAGGGGACACACAGAATTCGTTACTCAGGGACACAGAATTGTTACTCTCAGGGACACAGAATTGTTACTCAGGGACACAGAATCGTTCGTTACTAAGGGACACAGAATTGTTACTCAGGGACACAGAATTGTTACTCAGGGACACAGAATTGTTACTCAGGGACACAGAATCATTGAATTAAAGAGTATGTCAGACAACACGCAGAGGAGTGGCAGAGAGGCAATGTTTCAGGAGCGAGCAGACATGGCAGCAGAGGAAGGGGTCGAGGCAGCACTAGTCGCAGCCAGAGGCCATTGCTCCCGGTGTCATCCAGCGGTCGTGTCTCCACCGGCAACCCTGCCGTCATCGATTGGTTGGCTCGGTCGTCTTCCTCTTCCCAGGTCACCTCTGACACCTACAGCCAACGGTCGGTGGGTTACGTCAGACACAACCGTTAGTTGGCATGGCCGGGAGCAAGCCCACTGAAATCACGTGTCCTCTACCTGCCCCTGTCCTTTGGTGTTCCCTCACCAAGCGAAGTATCGCAATGCTGTGGGCTCACAGCCCCACTGTACAGTGAGGAAGAGCTAACAGAGGGCGGTCAGGAACGGGGGGAGACATCCGCCTCTTCAGCAGCCAGGCAAAGAAGCACTGAGCGAGGAGAGTGGCTCGGTAGCCGGTCTAGAGACAGGTCTGTTCTCCTGACCCACACGCAGTCGAGGGGGCTAGTAGTGAGGCGGAGACCCTAATTGATGATGATGAGGCTGATCGCACTTGGCAGCCTCGTCGTCATCTGCCAGGCCCCGTAATCTGCCATGGGCCCCCGTACCGACTCCTCATGCTGCTGCCAGGTCCAGAGTGTGTTCATGGGTCCCTGTACGGCCTCCCATTGCTGCTGTCTCCATCGCCACACTCGGCCATGTGCCACTTTCAGGTCTCCTCACACTGCTGGTGGGTTCCATTTTTGTCATAGGGTGCTGGCAGATTAACGGGCCTCCCATTGCTACTGCCAGGCCCATAATCTGCCATGGGCCCCTGTACCGCCTCCTCATGCTGCTGCCAGGTCCAGAGTGTGTCATGGGTCCCTGTACGACTCTCCCATTGCTGCTGTCTCCATCGCCACACTCTGCCATGTGCCACTTTCAGGTCTCCTCACACTGCTGGTGGGTTCCATTTTGTCATAGGGTGCTGGCAGATTACGGGCCTCCCATTGCTGCTGCCAGGCCCGTAATCTGTCATGGGCCCCTGTACCGCCTCCTCATGCTGCTGCCAGGTCCAGAGTGTGTCATGGGTCCCTGTACGGCCTCCCATTGCTGCTGTCTCCATCGCCACAACTCTGTCCCATGTGCCACTTTCAGGTCTCCTCACACTGCTGGTGGGTTCCATCATTTTGTCATAGGGTGCTGGCAGATTACGGGCCTCCCATTGCTGCTGCCAGGCCCGTAATCTGTCATGGGCCCCTGTACCCGGCCTCCTCATGCTGCTGCCAGGTCCAGAGTGTGTCATGGGTCCCTGTACGGCCACTCCCCATTGCTGCTGTCTCCATCGCCACACTGCAGAACTCTGCCATGTGCCTGCCACTTTCAGGTCTCCTCTCACACTGCTGGTGGGTTCCATTTTCTCATAGGGTGCTGGCAGATTACGGGCCTCCCATTGCTGCTGCCAGGCCCGTAAATCTGTCATGGGCCCCTGTACCGACTCCTCATGCTGCTACAGCACCGCTGTCCATGGGCCCCTGTACCGCTTCCTCATGCTGCTGCCAGTCCAGAGTGTGTCATGGGTCCCTGTACGGCCTCCCATTGCTGCTGTCTCCATCGCCACACTCTGCCATGTGCCACTTTCAGGTCTCCTCACACTGCTGGTGGGTTCCATTTTGTCATAGGGTGCTGGCAGATTACGGGCCTCCCATTGCTGCTGCCAGGCCCGTAATCTGCCATGGGCCCCTGTACCGCCTCCTCATGCTGCTGGCCAGGTCCAGAGTGTGTCATGGGTCCCTGTACGGCCTCCCATTGCTGCTGTCTCCATCGCCACACTCTGCCATGTGCCACTTTCAGGTCTCTCCTCACACTGCTGTGGGTTCCATTTTGTCATAGGGTGCTGGCAGATTACGGGCCTCCCATTGCTGCTGCCAGGCCCGTAATCTGCCATGGGCCCCCTGATACTCCTCATGCTGCAAGCTCAGGCCCGTAACTGTCCGCCCCTGTACCCTTCCTCATGCTGCTGCCAGGTCCAGAGTGTGTCATGGGTCCCTGTATGGCCTCACCATTGCTGCTGTCTCCATCGCCACACTCTGCCATGTGCCACTTTCAGTCTCCTCACACTGCTGGTGGGTTCCATTTTGTCATAGGGTGCTGGCAGATTACGGGCCTCCCATTGGCCTGCTGCCAGGCCCGTAATCTGCCATGGGCCCCCGTACCAACTCCTCATGCTGCTGCCAGGCCCCGTAATCTGTCATGGGCCCCTGTACCCCGCCTCCTCATGCTGCTGCCAGGTCCAGAGTGTGTCATGGGTCCCTGTACGCCTCCCATTGCTGCTGTCTCCATCGCCACACTCTGCCATGTGCCACTTTCCAGGTCTCCTCACACTGCTGGTGGGTTCCATTTTGTCATAGGGTGCTGGCAGATTACGGGCCTCCCATTGCTGCTGCCAGGCCCGTAATCTGCCATGGGCCCCTGTAACCCGCCTCCTCATGCTGCTGCCAGGTCCAGAGTGTGTCATGGTCCCCTGTACGGCCTCCCATTGCTGCTGTCTCCATCGCCACATTCTGCCATGTGCCACTTTCAGGTCTCCTCACACTGGCTGGTGGGTTCCATTTTGTCATAGGGTGCTGGCAGATTACGGGCCTCCCATTGCTGCTGCCAGGCCCGTAATCTGCCATGGGCCCCCGTACCGACTCCTCATGCTGCTGCCAGGCCCGTAATCTGTCATGGGCCCCTGTAACCGCCCTCCTCATGCTGCTGCCAGGTCCCCAGAGTGTCATGGTCCCTGTACGGCCTCCCATTGCTGCTGTCTCCATCGCCACACTCTGCCATGTCCACTTTCAGGTTTTCCTCACACTGCTGGTGGGTTCCAATTTTTCATAGGGTGCTGTATGGCCTCCCATTGCTGCTGCCTCCACCGCCACACTGTTGGCTCCACACTCTGGTTTTGGGCCCCGTGACTGCCCAAATGAGTGAAGTGTGCGGTGATTCTAAGATCCGACGGCACTCATCTGCATGTCATACTGACTGACAGTATATTTCTCTTCCCCAGCAGACTCCAAGGGCATTTAAATTAAAGGTACAGTGTTCTGCACTAATATAAAGGCTCTCTGAAGCCTAGAAACACCCTTTTATATAAGTTAAATTCGCAGCGAATATATTAGACTCCGAATCGAATTTATTCGCGAATTCGCCAAATCAGCCGAATCGAATTTTTGAATACTCTCGCTCATCTCTAGTCACAGTATCAGGCAGGAATACTCACAAAACCCAGACAGCTGGTAGCAGGTGAAGGTCTGATGGCTGGAGGTAACCAAAGTTAATGTAGGCTGGCAAGTAGAATATGACTGAAGATTGAAATTCCACATGGCAAGTAGGAGCAGCAGCAGGAGAGGTTTTCCTTGACATTGTATGGTGCGAAAGAGAGCAATGAGCGAGCATGTATAACACTCTACCAGTGAATGCTCAGTACCACAAGCATTAACCCGTCATGGTGTAAACTGGCAAGAAGTGGGGAATTTCTAAAGGTGCCTGGCGACCTATATAGTTTTGAGGTGGCCCCATGCTTGCCCCAACTGATGTACTCACAGTGTGTGTCTTCAGAGGCAGGGTATGTGCTGTGGTAATGACAGCAGCTCTGGACCTGGAAAGCGATCCACAGTAAATGATTTATTAGAACTGACTCTGGAAAGTGCCCTATGCGGAACCTATTGCTTGAAAGTCACCTGCAGGCTGTTTCCTGCAACATCTTAGTCCCAGCACAGTCTGAACAGGAACTCCAAAGCCAGGCTGAGGACAGTCATGCCAGATGGCTGCAATGGAAAAGAGTAGATGTAGCAGTGATATAAAGAAGATTAATGAGAAAGAAAAAGGGTGTTATAAAAAAAAATAATGTAGTCTACCACAACACAGAGATAAAGAGAAGTCTGTCCCTCCAAGGTGACTAGAAAAAAAAAAAAAGTTTTGCTGGTGACAGAAGGAGTTATCCTGGGCTGGATCACAGGTTTTTGGCAGACAGTGTTTAAATCCTTCTGTAGGCAGCAGGATAACCTGAAGTTAAATGACTTCCTGCAAAGCGGGAAGAAAAACCAGCCAGATAGTAAAGTAAAAGCAGCAACACATTACACATTGTTGGGAACAGTTAACCCTTTGATTGCCCCTAGATGTTAACCGCATCCCAGCCAGTGTCACTAATACAGTGACAGTGTACAGTATTAGCACTAATCACTGTTTCAGTGTCACTATCTGTGTCAATGTCAGTTAGTGTACCTCCAAGGCAGTGACTGCTAGCGTAGATTGCCCGCCACACTATCACAGTCCCAATATAAGTCACTGATCACCGCCATTACTAGTATAGAGTCATAGCTGTGTAAATTCCAGTTTATATACCATAGTTTGTAGACAAACTTTCGCACAAACCAATTAATATGCACTTATTGGGATTTTCTTTTTAAACCAAAAGGCATGTGGCAGAATACATTTTCTTTTATTGGATAATTTTTTTCCCCCAAAATGTTTAGTCTTTTTTTGTTTATATAATAATTTAAAAAAAAACCGTGGTGATCAAATACCACCCCCCAAAAGAAAGCTCTATCTGTGTGAACAAAATTATATATATATCATTTGTGTACAGTGTTGCAGGACCCCTCAGTTGCTAGTTAACCACTTGCCGCCCAGCCACCGCATATAAACGTGCCAGGGCGGCGCTCGTAGGCAAAAGCACGTTTTAAAAAGGCTGCCTTCAAAACAGGTAGGGGGCGCGCGCGAGGCGCGTGCCCGCCCTACCTGTCCCGCGGGTGTCAGCAGCGGGTGTCAGCCGACGGGTCACGGACGGTTTTTACCGGCCGTTTTCCCGCGATTGCTGGTGATCGCTAACAGAGAGCAGGGCTGCATTGTTTACACACACAGCCCTGTTCTGTGTCAGTTCTCTGACAGCTTGTGAGAAGCTGCAGGGTTTCTCTCCCTAGATCAGCTCCCCCCCCTCCCTCCCCCCCCCCGTCCAGTACACACCCCCTGCCCCCTAGTAAAACACTCACCCCTTACACTGCAAATTCTAAAAATGTTAACCCCTTCCTCCCCAGTGACATTAGTACAGTTTCAGTGGGTTTTTTTCACTGATCACTGTATTGGTGTCACTGGGGATGTCAGTGACCCCAAGTCAGTTCCCCCCCCAGTGTCAAAATGTCCGCCGCTGTCCCGTAGTCCTGCCATTAGTCGCTGGTCACCGCCATATGTCGCCGATTGCCACCAAAATTCGCTGATCGGCGCCATTATTACTATAAATAAAAATTCAAGTATCTTTCCCGCCATTTGTAAACGCTATAACTTTCACGTAAACCAATTAATTTACACGTATTGGGATTTTTTTTTAGCAAAGACATGTCGCAGAATGCATTTTGGCAGAAATTTATGACTAAATTTGATTTTTTGCATTTTTATTTTACTGGACATGTTTTATAGCAAAAAGTCCAAAATATTGTTTTTTTTCCCCTCAAAATTGTCAGCTTTTTTTTTTTATAGCGCAAAAAATAAAAACCGCACAGGCAATCAAATACCACCGAAAGAAAGCTCAATTTGTGGGAAAAAAAGGATGTAAATTTCATTTATGTACTGTATTGCATGACCAACGCAATTGTCCGTTAAACTAGCGCAGCGCTGTATAGCGAAAAAATGGCGTAAATTGCAGTATCTATACCATAGTTTGTAGACGCTATAACTTCCACACAAAGCAATCAATATACACTTATTGGAATTTTTTTTACCAAAAACATGGAGCAGAAAACATTTTGGCCTAAATTTATAACCAACTTTGAGTTTACTATAATATTTTTTATAGCTGAATGTAAAAAATATTGTTTTTCTTCAAAATGTTTAGCCTTTTTTTGTTTTATAGCGTGAAAAATAAAAAAGCGCACAGGTGATCAAATTACACCGAAAGAAAGCTCTATTTGTGTGAAAAAAAGAACGTAAAATTTCGTTTGGGTGCAGCATTGCATGACCCGCGCAATTATCAGTTGAATTAGTGCAGCGCCGAGTAGCAAAAAGAGGCCTGGTCATTAAGGGGGGTAAATCCTCAGGTGCTCAAGTGGTTAACCACTTGCCACCCGGCCTATGGTCAAAAATGATGGCTGGGTGAAAACTTCGTCCCTCAAGAAGGGCGTCATATGACGTCTTTCCCGAGCCGCCCTGTGGCAAGATCTGTCACCCGGCTGTGTACCTTGGACCGGCCCCATTGCCAGTACCCTGTTGTGACCAATCACAGCAGGTCACATGACAGTTTTATACAATGGATGTCTTCCTTTCATGCCATCCATTGCATACAACTCTGTCTAGCTGTAATTGGTCACAGCAATCACATGCACAGACTGTGCCAATCACATCCCATCTATGTTATGTGATTAGCCGTGGCCAATCACAGCTAATCACAACAAAAAAACCCTGAATGAATCGATTTCATTCAGTTAAATGCTTGCTTATAGCAAAGAAATTCTTTGCTATAAGCAATCAAATTGTGAAAAAAAAAATACTGATCACTTCCCCAAAGTAGTACAATGTTACTATGGTAACATTATACTGCTTTGGTCATAGTGCAATATGGAAAAACAAATCTTAAAAAAAGTGAAAAAATGTAGTAAAAAAAAAAAAATAAATAAAAAAAAAAAAAAAAAAAAAAGTTATCTTTTTTTTTTTTCGTACTGTCACCAGTGTCCCTGATCACCGCCACACTAGTTATATGCTGATGCTGTACTGCACTAGTGACAGTATGTAAAAAAAAAAAAATAGTGAAAATAATTTTTTTTTGATTTCCTCATTTTCCAAAAAAATTATGACAAAAAAATTACAACTTCAAAAAACTCGCCAGAACTCTCGGATATGAAATATGTCTACACTGTTTTTTTTTTTTTCAATATTGTTTTTTTTTTGTTAATTTCGCAAAAAATAAAAACCCCAGCGGTGAATAAATACCACCAAAAGAAAGCTCTAGTTGTGTGAACAAAATGATAAAAAATTTTAGTTTGGGTACAGTGTTGCATGACCGCACAATTGTCATTCAAAGTGTGAGAGTGCTGAAACCTGAAAATTGGCCTGGGCAGGAAGGGCGTAAAAGTGCCCAGTATTGAAGTGGTTAAAGTAGCACAGTGCTGGACAGCAAAAAGCTGTTGCTGAATAGCAAATGGTTAAGGATAAAGCCCATTAACACCAGACTGGTTTACTGTGATGGGTTTACCCTACATACTAATGTACATTGCTTTAAGTTTATCCCAGTGGATAGAAAACAATTGATTAGTGTACAGCAATCCACAGGCATGCATGGCCACTCATTGTAATGCACTGCAATCTAGGTATGTGTGAAAAATGCATTGGGGTGCCATTCACAAGGTGTGTTACTGCAGCTTGTGTGAATG